ACCATCCATTCCTCACCCTTCCCTCTCCTTCTCCTTCCTCCCCCCTTCCTCCATCCAAAACCCACTCCCCCTTCCCCCTCCTCCCACCTCCTACCTCCTCCCCTCCCCGTACTCAGGTTGTCTGATTCCCGCCACGACCCTCATCCTGGTGGGCTACGTGGGATGTAACCACGTGCTTGTCGTGGTCTGTCTCACTCTGTCTGTGAGCCTGGCCTCCTTCAATGGCGGGGGCTTCTCCGTCAACCATCTGGACCTCTCTCCAAGATTTGCCGGTACTTGCTTGTCTTTTCTTTTAATCATATGTTATAATTTATTGTTATCAACACTTTATATTATGTCACTATACAAATACATTTCCATGGGAATTTTACTGAAAAACGGTGATCAAAAGCACAAAATGGCTTCTCCGTCAACCATCTGGACCTCTCTCCAAGATTTGCCGGTACTTGCTTGTCATTTGTTTTGATTATATATTATATTATGTGAGGCATCGTGGTGAAATGAGGCCCTGGTCAAAATAATGAAATCGAAGAAACAGACATTTTCCCTCCAGTTTGACAATTTTTGTCAAATTTTTTAATTTTTTGGCTCAACACATTTTGCGTCAATATAAAAATACATTTCCATGGGAATTTTACAGAAAAAAATTGATGAATGGCACAAAACATATACATTTTGAGTTTTCAAGGACTTTCAAGCTATAGAAGTTGCCAAACTTTGGCAGCCATTTTCTCGCTTATTTTACCGCAGAAAACAGGTTACTTCCATACCTTCAATCCAAAATATCTTGACTTCTATTCAAGATAGATGAGTAAAATTTTCACCGAAAGAAGGACAAATCCATAAATCCACCTGCCCAAAAATTGATGAGTGCCTGATTCCACTGCGTCGTGACACATATTATTTCTATTAAGCATGCTTAAAAACTCACTGGCCTGGTGAAATGGTGAAATACAATAAGTTTAACGCCCCTATCAACACTATTAGACCGAAAGGACTGAGCCAAATGGGAAATTTGTGTAAAGTTCTTTTCCCAAAGACGGAACTGAGGCTCGAACCCCGAACCTGTAATCTCATGATTACGAGTCCAGTAAGCTAACCACTAGGCTACCAATGCCACCTCATTGCCCCCCATTGACCTGACACTATAAGAAATAAAAAAACAACTATGGGGGCAAACAAATCATCAGAAAATAGGTATGAAAATCAGCGAGAGAAAATGGAAGTGTATTGGACACACCTTGAGATTACGAAAACAAATAGTAACCTACTCACCAAGCCTTAAAATAGAATCCACAAGTAAAGGGAAAGATAGGGAGGCCTAAAAGTACTTGGAAGAGGAACTTAGAATCAGACCTAAAGGAAATAGGATACAGCTGGACAGAGGTGGAGACAGTAGCCCAGGACAGAAGAAAATAGAAAGCTATCGTTTGTGGCCTAGACTCTGGCACAGGGTAAAAAATGCTGACGGTGGCGGTGGTGGTGATGATGATGATGATGATGATGATGATGATGATGATGATGATGATGATGATGATGATGATGATGAGGATGATGATGATGATGATGATGGCCAAGCTGGTGGTTGGAGGAAATTACAGATTGTTCCTTCTTTCACTTTTTCACTTTACCCCCCCCCCCCCCAAATAAATAATCAAACTAAGAAAAAGAAAAAAATATCAACAAAACAACAACCCCCCCCCCCTAAAAAAAATTAATGAAAAGGAGGAAAAACACCAAACAGACAGCCAAGCAAACAAGCAAACAACTCAACTTTTGTCTCTTTCCCTTCTATTCACTATCATCACTCCCCTCACTTCCCCATCCATCCTCCCCTCTCCTCCAACCCTTCCTTCCTTTTTATTCTTTCTCTCTGTATTCTTTAAAATACTTTCTATATAATTATATCCCGTTTCCCTTTTCTCAAGTGTCATGTTAATGATCTTCTTCCTTCTGTCCATCCACTCGCAGGCATTCTCCTGGGTCTCACGAACACCGTTGCGACCATCCCTGGCTTTGTCAGCCCGGCCCTCGTAGGTTACCTCACGGATGGAAATGTGAGTGGGGGACCACTGGTTGATTTACTTGTCTTACATCTCAACTTACTGAACACCATAATATGTTTTACGTTTAAATGTATTAATAATATATTATTTTATCTAATATCAAAACTTACACACAACATGTTTTACTTTCAAACGTATTAACACCATGTTATTTTGTCTTACATCAAAACTTCCTTTACACAAAATGTTTCACTTTTAAACTTATTGACACCACATTATTTTGTCTTACAACTAAACTTAAAACACCATAATAATCTAACATCTAAACTTACTTGACACCATAATATGTCTTTCATTTACACTTACTTGCACCATGATACATGTATACCTTACATCTAAATTTATCCTTTTACATTTAAACTTACTTGCCATCATAATAATAATATGTCTTACATTTCAACTTACTTGATACCACAAACTATGTTTTGCATCTTCAAATTACCAAACAAATTATTGTGTTTTACAATTAAACTTACTTGGTATTTTCCTTACATTTAAAGTTGTGTGGCACACGCAATATCTCTTTCATCTAAACTGACAGAACACATTAATTGTGAGGTATCGTGGTGAAATCGGGTGCTCGTAAAAATAATGTAATCGAAGAAACAGGCATTTTTCTGTGGTTCGCAATTTTTTAATCGAATTTTTGTTTTTTGGCTCAGCGCTTTTTACATCCATATATGAAACACATTTACATGTGAATTTGACTGAAACGCGTCGATTAAAGGCACTAGATATGTCATTTTTCAGTTTCCACGAGCTATCAAGCATTGCATTGTTATTATTATTTTATTCTTATTCTTATTATAATTATTATTATTTTAATTATTTTAATTAATTTTCTTCC